TATTGTTAATGTTAATGATTTTTTTCCATTAATATATATAAATGCTCATCAATTTATTTAATTAAATATTTGTATAAACTATTTAATTTATACTTTGATATTTTTTTATAAAAAAATAAGAAATAACGTACATATCCATTATTATTTTTATATAAAATAATTTACGAGCACACATTACAGAGCTGGTATACGTGAATGAACGTGATCTACCTTGCAAAAGAATTAAAGAAAGATCTCCTTTCAATTTTCTAAAGTGGAGATCACATGAAAAACACGCAAACACACGATCTTGTTATCTGTAATTAATAGAAGAATCCAATTGAGACAAAATTATTGGATTACCAAAACAAAGCCTTAATTACTTTTGGCGATGGATCGCAGAAGGTAACTACACTACCTTAATGTAAATGTTTCATTTCATATTGCAGTTGTTTTTATTTTTTATCCTATCATAAATAAAAAAAAACAAATTATTTAATTAAATAAATAATTTCTGCTTTTTGAAAAGAACCTCCTCCATAATCGTGTTTAAATCTTAATTTTATAAAATCTAAAATAATTTATTTCTGGTTCATAAAGATTTATTTTTTATTTATTTTCAATGCAAAATTCCATCTCAAAATAATTTTAACTAAGCATATTTAAACCAACTTTTTTTTTTTAAAAAAAATCATAACTTAAAAAGTTTTTTTAAATCTATTATTTTTTAATCGGAACCGCAAAAACTAGCTGGATATGATAATATCATCCACACGCTTCAGGTTGTGTTTTCTGTTGCAGCGAATCATATAAACTTGATCTTTGGTAATATATAAAATGTCTATTATCATGTATGAACCACATCATTAACATCATTTAAAATGTAGGGTTGTTATCAAAGCTGATTTTAACTCGTGGAGTGAAAAGTATATTATTTTTATTTATTTATTTAAATTAAATATATTAAATTAGATTTTATTCAGTGAAATAAAAAAATTATTTTTTATTTTTAATTATATTTTATTTAAAAAATTAATGTTTAACATATTTAATAATACTATATAAATTAGATGTAAATCACTTAAAGATATAGTATTTATAAAATTTATTTATAATTTTAATTTTATTCCTGATAATATTTGACTTGATATTATTATGGATTTAAAAAATTAAAAAAACTATAGTTATAATAAAAAACTACACACATATTCTATATGTTTTAGCGAATAGACAATGCCCGTGCCATTAAAATGACATGTGAGATGCTTCTCGACAATCAAATTTGGCTATCAAATATCTCACTAGATGTGCAACCATGCATGCTTCCACATGGAGCAGCTCATGTATACATCATAATTGGATTGTCGCCTATAATTTATTGTTTGTGTTTCTTTTTTTCTTTTCTTTATCCTAACAACTAAAATACATAATTATAATATCTTTATTTGTTGTTCGCTTAAGTTTGACATAGCTACTAGACTCATAACCAACAAACCCAAAGTGTTTAGGTTTGATATAATTGTCAGACTCAAGACATTTAAAATATTTTTTAAATTTTTTTATATATATTTCATACATAATAAAGTTGTAGATGATTTAATGAAATAATAAAAAATATTTTTTATAAAATATTTTTTACTTTATAATGTAATAGCATTATAAAAGCAGTGGTTAAATCCACAATATTTAAATTAAAAATTATCGATATAAATATATTTTTTTTAAATTATTTTATAACCTCAATTTAAAAAGTATTCTTAACCAAACATATTAAATTTTTTTTTTTCAACCTCAATTTCAACTATAATTTTAACCAAATATATATAAATATCAAACCAACCTCAACTCCACTAAACATACTTTCTATATAATAATTTTTTCTAAACCATAACCTCAGAACCCACTAACCAAACACACTTACTCTTAGTGTTCATTACTACATCTACGGGCCTCCTGCAGAACAATGATGCAAGGACCACTGAAGTTTATTTGCAATCACAACATGCTTAGGCTAGCCAACAAATTCAAGGACCTCATGCACTATATGGATGGTGGAAAAACTAACAGGCAGAAAACTGAAACTAAAATATGATGGGTTAAGCATCAATAAGTTTTATCGCCGTGGAAAAAGCAAAGCTTTAGCCGCGTTGAAGAAAAATGAAAGCAAATGTTAAAACATGGACTAGCATTCTACAAATTACATGGCATCCAAGAGGAAATGTAGCTCATGAGCGCAGTCGAACCTTTTATGAAACAATAATGGAGCTCAAAATTTTATTGCAACTGCCAAAGCAGCTTCCCTGGCTAATTGTATTGTAAAGATTCAAAAGGGAATCAAGCTACAAAAGTTACAAGCTGTTGCAATGTGAGAAATTTGATTCGCTTGTAGCTGAATTTATCACCCAACACAACATAGAACATGCCTCCGATTAATCCTTAAGCTGTAGCCTCTTTAACTTCCTTGTCCTCCTCAGTAGAATGCAAACCAAGATTTTCCTCAACTTTCTTCCACGCATTCAATAAATTAGGAGGGAACTTTTTCTTCATTGTACGAATCAATCCTTTTGCTTCCTTGATCTTCTTCTTCTCCACCAACCCCTTTACCAAATATTTCAATGTATTAAAATCTGGAATTCTATGCACCTTCACACTATCCTTAAATATCTCATACCCTTTCTCGTATTCGCCACTCTTGCACAAGTTAAAAACCAGAGTTCTAAATGTTGCCGCATTCGCTTTGCACCCATGTACCCTAAACTCCTCATAAACCTTCTTCGCTTCCTCCATCATCCCACTCGTACAATAACTAGTCATCAAATAATTATAACTAATTGTATCCGGTTTCAACCCATAATTCTCCATCTCCTCAATCAACTCCTTCACTCTCTCCGGCCCCTGATTCACAGCATTGCTAATCTTCACATTGTACACCACAGCATCCAACTCACACCCTCTTTCCACCATGTCATCCAAAAACCTCTCCGCCTCATCTTTCTTTCCCTTTGAATACAAACAATTCAAAACTGGTGTACAAACAATCGCCGTAACTTCCACTCCTTTCTTTTCCATTTCCCCCAGTACCTCAATCGCCTTCTCCGATTTCCCATCCTCGCAATAAGCCTTGACTAACATCCCATACGAAACCTTGTCAGGCAAAACCCCATATTTCTCACTAATTTCATTAAACAGCACAGGAACTTTCTTATAAAGTTTGGATTGAATGCAAGCAGATAACAAAGCATTAAAAGAAATACAAGATCGAGGGGTACCCAACTGATCCATTTCTTGATAAGTTTTTAGTGCCTGATCAAACATTCCGGCAACACCGTAAGATCTGATTAGTGAAGAAAGAAAGGGTTCTTCTTTGATTTTGGGGTCGGATTTGTGGGATTCCATCAAGGACTCGATGTCAGCGAAACGGTGGGATTTGGCGAGGCGGCGGACGGTGAGGTCTTGAGCATAGCGAGAGACGACCGGGGGGGAGGAGTCATTACTGGAAGCGGAGGAGAAGATGGCTAGTGCTTTGTCTGGGTCATGTTCAGTGCGGAGTCTTGATTTGGCTTTGGAGATGGAGATTTTCTGGATGGTGGTGGAGAGGTGGCGGAGGTGGCGCAGGGTGGAGGGCATTTTGAAAGTTGAAGGATAGGAAATGAAGGGGCGGTGCGTGCGAGTGGAATGTGTATAGGTGGTTTTTAGGGTTTAGGGGAGGTTGAAGTGACGGTCTAAACGGAGAAATGGTTTAAACAGAACTTTCATTTCTTTTTGCTTAAAAAAAATAAAAAATTGCATTATCCTTCCCAATTATCTGTTAGCTGGAGGGAATACCGTACACGGCTGTACCCCTGAAATGTTTAATAGCATTTGAAAAAAAATAATAATAAGAATTCATGTTTTATGTTATTTAAAATCTTAGAAATAAGTCGAAACAGATTGGAGTATTGGAAAACAAATATATCATATATTTATTTAAATATATATGTTAATTTAATAATGTTATATATGGTGAATATTTATTTAATTAAGTAATAAAGTGTTATATACAATTTGATATAATGTATATATTAGAAAATAAATATCTTTAAATATATAAAAAATATTTTATATATTATAATATTAACTCCAAAACAAAATGCTGAAAAGAGCTTGTTGTCCTGAAAATCCGGATGACTACAAGAACTCTATGGACAACTTAGATACTAAATATGTATATTATACAACGATTTTATTTGAAAAACAAATACAAGCATAATATAAGAATTAATTATAAAATAATTTTTAATTTCTTACATTTCAATGATATCTTTATATGCTAAAAATCCAAAATAATAGATGATCTCTTTTTTATTATTAAAGATGAAAAATTAAAGTTAAATTTTCTTTTTAAATTATGTAAGCATGGTGATTAATGGATCGAATGGATGGTAGATCTAGATCTAATTTATTTAATCAACGGAGATCTAATTTATTTAATGAACGGATCAGATCAAGTTTTTATATATTTGAATTGAAATTTTTTACTTGTCAATTTGTCTTTTTTGATGTATAAAGAAATTATATTATAATTACATTTCATGTCATTTTTAAAATGAAAATCAAAGTGTATTACCACTATAAGAACTTAATTAAATAATCATAATAAAAAAAATTATATTATAGGTCAAGAATTAATTTAAATCAAACCCTAAAATATGACGAAGCTAGAAGAAAATAATAAAATTATCTACTCTAGACACAATTTGATTGGCATAAAAGAAAATCTTAATATTTTATAAAGAACAAGCTTGAAATGGATAAACAAATTTCACCGCATCAAGACGTAATAAATCAGAAACACAAGTATAACACATTAATTATTATCTGTTTTCATATGCTTTAAGTAACAATCAAATCTCACAATGACTCATTAATTATTATCTGTTTTCATATGTTTAGGATTTTTCATATGCTTTAAGTAACAATCAAATCAAATCTAATGCAGCCGTCAAATTTATTTGACTTTTTTTAAAAGAAAAAAAGAGGAGGATGCAAGTAGTCGAATATCATAGAAATTCATCTCAACTAGTTCAATGTTTAACGGTCATCTGTTCACAGACTTCAACAGGGAGGCATTCAATCAAACAGCCAAAGGCAAGAGGTTGTAGACTTCTAAGCTATCATTTAAAACATAACCACTAATAATAACAGGGTATCACAGGATCCAAAACCCAAGTGGTGGAAGGAAGCAGCCTCTACACAACTAATTAGTCATTCATCATATTCTCCCTGGGAGAACTTGTTCTCTGGAAAAAAGACAGCCACAACATGATTTCCGCCAAATTTCCTCCCGTTCATCCCTGCTCGTGCTTTTGAAGAACCTTCAGTGTCTGCATATTCCAAGAACACCTGGAAACAACCCAAGATTCTAGTAGGCAACTATAGCCCGAAAAAACTACTACTTTCCAAAGACTGAAGCATAGATGAAACAAACTGTAACATATGCTGACCTTCCCAACTCCTGGTGCATTTTCACCATCTGGTCTTGGGCGTGGGATCACAACATTCACCAGTTGACCTGCATATAACGTGTGAAAATATGCAATCCAAAATTTTCAAAACAACTATTTTTTATTGAAAAATGGAAACCAATCTCAAGTAAATATAAATAAGGGATTATGAAGTCTTCTGTCTGTGTATGTTAAGCTTGATTCTTTATAGCAGAATGTGGGACTAGAAATGGCTGTAAAACAGACATATAACACACAGAGAATAAAGAACAATCAATTACTATGAAGGAAGATTCACAGTACAAAGGCTAGAAACAAAATAAATAGCCAGTTGAAAGATTTTACCAAATTTCCCAGCTTCCATTCTAATGTCTTCCAAAATGTCTTCATACTCATCATCATCTTTGAGCTCATCCACAGTAACTACTTGAGTTAGGCATACAACTTTCGTGACTACAGGTGGTGGCTGCAACATAAGCCTCTGCAAAAAACAAAAAAGTTTATATAACAAAATAAACCTATGATGGCATGGAATACATATTTATATATAAAAATGGAACAATATTTACCTGCAATGCAATCTGCTGCTGAGCATGCAATAGTACATTCTCTTGCTCTGGTTTTGGCTGGTTGGTGCCCTGGTTGGCACGTCGAACAGTGAGAGTTTTATCACCCATTTTAATTCCATTCAGAGCAGCACAGGCTATGTCTGTCACTGAAAGATCTTGGTAAACACAAAATGCATAGCCTTTTGAGTTCCCAGTCTCTCTGTCTTTTACAAGATCAAAACCACGGAGAGCTCCAAAAGACTCCAACAACTCCCTGATCTGTGCTTCTGTGAAGTAATAAGGGAGTCCACCCACAAAAATGCGGTCTGGACCCTCGAGTCCACCAGCAGAACCAGGAGTAAGGCCAACTGCTGCCAGATTAAGATTGGGATTGGGCTGGCTTGGACCAAGTGTTGCGGCCAGAGACGGGTTATAGTCACTCGGTCTCCTAACCTTAACAGGTGCTCCCTGGGAAAATAAAGTTTTGCAATGAAATAGCTCAAACAGGTCAGTAACATGTAACAGCAAATATCATAGACACAACAAAACAAAAAGGATATAGAAAAACAAAATTACCTCGAAAATAATCCCATCCAAAGCCATTGCATTACTGGCCTCCTCAACAGATCTCATCTCCACAAATGCAAACTTCTTTTCATGGTTTATATAAACATTAACAACAGCATCCCCTTAGCAAAACAAACCAGATAAAAATTTAGTGACTCTGGAAAGGATGCAGGTAGTCTAATTATGTGTATCAGCAAAACAAAATTAAAAAGAATATGGCATACCTGGGCCTGCAGTGTTCCCTCCAATGGCAGCCATAACCTGGCTAAAAAAGGTAGCCACAGACTGCAGTACAGCTAACAGATTAGTATCCAAACAAGGTTATATAAAGATGAGGGGGGAAATGGAAGCAAAACAAAACCTGTTCATTAGCTATAGGTGGAAGCCCGCCAACATAGACCCTCCGTGCATGCCTGGTAGCCTGAAATCACAAAATAAATCATATAATTACTCCAAAAATTAATGAAAAAAAAGACAAGAAAAAATCACATCTTTCATTCCTGCCAACCTGTTGAGTCATTGCCTGAACTGGCATAACAGGGAGAGCACCAAACTGCTGCAAATGAACAAATGAAATGCAATCAATGCAAATGAGAATATGGAAATGAATACAAGTAACATATGAGAGTGATACACACCTGGCCAGTCCCTAATGGAAACATGTTGGGAAACATTCCAGGAATGGGAGGAGCTGTCCCAGTAATCTGACCTGCAAAGGTAATTAAAAATAAATTAGTACACAATCATAAATCAATCCTTACTCTAATGTAGTTGGGGTACCAAAATCAAGTCCTGCATCATTCTCAAATAGAAACACTAAGTCCTAACCTTTGGCAATAAATTTTATCAAAAGAAATGAAAGTATAAATCATATTCAAGTTCTGGAGGATATATTTGCAAGACTACCAAAACAGGCAATAGTTGCCAGTTGAAGACGAAAGAGAACCATCAAACCGGTGCATTGTCTCCTTCTTGTACATAAAAGCTACAGAAGTCTGACTCACGCCCATTGTCAGCACAGTGGGACAAGTAGCCCAACATTGCCTTCTTACAACAAAAGACAGACACAAAACAAACAAACAAACACCAAACACAAGAAAAACCAAAAACTCTCTCAGTTCCAGAATTATTTCACCAAATAAGCAATAATAATAACGTAGTACAGCCCATTCAGAGACCACAGCTTTAAGAAGCTAGATATACAAAGTTAGAGAACAAAATACTGCTTACCAAATGATACCATGTAATTTGATACGGATTTTCCACACTATGTCAAACAAAAACAAAGATAGCAGTTAAGAGAATATGACATTTTAAGTTGTATAAGAGGGTACATGTACCTGCAGCAGCAACAGCAGCAGCAGCAGCAGCACTAGGCAACATTGCAGAAGCAGGAGGAGCCATATCAAAACCACTGATCCTTTTGCTTTAAGTAGATAGAGATTGTATGCCAAAAAGGCACGCACAAATTAGAAAACAGAAGATCAAAATTGAATAAAGTTGTAAGTATGGATAAAAATTTGGTGTACCCCCACCCAATATACCTCTTAGAACGCGACCTCGATCTGTGCTCAGATCTACCCTTCGAACGAGATCGTGACCGACGTCTATGTCTGTCTTCTTTGTCCCTATCATAGTCTCTCCGCCTGCTAATAGAACCAATAAAACAGATATCCAGCACTTAGCATAATAAAGAATGGAACGGTATATAGAAGACAATCCTTAAAACTCAGCATTCAAAAAATAATCAGATTTTATTACCTGTCATAGTCTCGGCTTCGGTGATAATCATCATCATCCCTATCTCGACCTCGATCCCTCCTTTCACTGCGATCTCTATGGCGATCACGATCACGGTCACGATGACGGTCACGATCCTTGTCTCGGTCCCTATCTCTATCCCTGTCCTTGCTTTTCTCCCTATCCTTGTCTCGATCTCTTTCCCTATCTCTACCTCTGTCCCTGTCTCTGCTTCTCTCTTTTTCCCTACTTTTTGAAGACTCCCTCTCATAGTCACGAGACCCACGCTGAAATTCATGCATTATGCTAGTAAGATCCCAATAAAAAGGATATGTGGTACACAGTACCAGCCAAAAACAAAAACCCACAAAATCCTTTACAACAAACGGGCTGTCTACATCAAGAACCAAAATACAAAACTAACAAATACTAAACATCTGTAAATCCAATAGCTGCACAATGTTTCACGTGTCTGAACAAAAACTTGACATAGCATCAGATATCAACAGACTTAACAAAATTAGAACATAACAAAAGCAATATCCACAAGTGTAACCAGCATTGACAAACACCAAATCCATAGCTAGCATAGGACAAACATACACTGTTAATTCGAAAAAATAATCGTAGGGCATAAAAAAAAAGGCCAACAGGAACCAATTCATGTTATTTACGTTGCTCCGTGTTTGTTCCAGTTAAAACCCCAAATCAGCAAATGCAGCAACTACAAGCTTTCTATGAATAACTAAAGCTACAAAAATAACATCACATAGCTCATATTCCCAAATAGAAACAAACGGAAACCCTAACTAAACTACCAAAAAAACAAAAGAAAAATCGCAATCTTAACAGCTCTTCTGTCTAAGCAAAATGATTTACATCTGTTTATACCTCAGACTTAGAATCGCTTTGATCATCAGCGCCGCCGCGAGGCGGGGGAGAGGAATCGGCGCCGCCGGCACCGTAGCTCTGGTTTTCGAAGTCGGCACCGCCGTTACCTTCGTATCTTTCTGCTTCATAATCAGTCATGGCGTATTTTTTTGTAATTTTGATTCAGTTTTAGGTTTTGACTTTTGATGATTTGGCTGCGAAACGGGAAGTGAGAACGAAGAAGAGTACAAGAGGATTGAGAAATCTAGGGCTTGAAATTGGGGGTTTTGATTGTATTTATATAGCCAAGTGAGTTGCTCAAGGAACGTGGATGTGTGAATGTACTTGGAGACATTAGTTAATAGACCCGATCCGGGGTTTTGAAATTGGGGTTACACGGGTTAATCTCGATTAATCCAGAAAAAATATTAAAAAACAATATTTTATATTTTATATCAAAAATTAAAAAATAATTTATATGAACATAAATTATATATTTTATAAATAATAAAATTTAAAAAATTATTTCAAAATATTTTTATTTCATATTAAAAAGATAATATATTAATATATTATTTTTTTAAATTTAAGTTTTTAAATTAAAAAGTTTTTTTATTTCACATTAAAAAATATAATTTTTTTTATAAATATATTATAAATATAGAGTACATGTACTAAAAAAATTTAAAACTTACATTAAAAAAATAAAATATTCTTCTAATATTTATATAATAAATTTTAAAAATAATTAATAATCAACTTAAAAAATATTAAAAAAATCTTTAACAAAAAAAATACATTTAAAAAAAATAGATTTCAACTAGGTTTTGCCATAAGTCAACCAGGTTTTTATTCATTCCTATTTTTTATTTTATCTAGATAGATTTAATTATCAAGCTTATTTACTTGATTGATTGAGATTTAATAACTATATTGAGAGATTATTTAGTGTTATAGTAATAATTATTTTTTAAAATATATTGAAATAATATTTTTTATTTTTAAAATATAATCTTGAAATATAAAAAAATTAATTTAAAATATAAAACGTAATTCTCTTAAAAAATATATTTCTAAAATACTATCATCTCTATTTTAGCGTTGTTTTCTTGGCCACTGTATCTCATATATTATATTATATTATTATTAACATTAACAAAAACTATTGAAGGATCGGAAGAAACCTTTAGCAAACATAACGCAATGGACACACATTAACAGTGACTACTGTGCTGCCGGTGTGGAAGAAACCATGCAGTAAACATTGCAGGCTAAATTTATTATTCATGCGCAACTATTGTGCCTTTTTTTTAAAAAAAGCGAAGGTTGTAGATAGAGGGTACATTAGTTTTTTTTATAATCAAATAATAATAATTAAATCAATCGTTTTTTTAGAGAAAATGTAATAATCTTACAAAAAAAATCATAAAAATAAAATATATGAGAATTGATTTCTCCTTGCTAAAGAACTCACGATCTATATATAATCCACAAGTTTTTTTATAGAAAAGAGAGCTAAATATATAATATTATCTTGATAATTTATAGAAAAGAGGAGCTAAATATATAATATTATCTTGATAACATTAATAAAAAAAATATTCTTAACATAAAATGTCTCTGAATATAAATAAAAAATCCTTAACTTATTAAAATAAAATAAATTTTATAGATTTGATAGTTTGTCAAACTTATAGAAACCTAAGCTCAACACCCAAAAATGATGGATTATTAAGTTTTATTTATTTGTTTAGAAAAGAGGACCATGAAAAATAAAAAAAAATGTTAATCCATCATTATACTTCTAAACTAAGGTTATTTTAGCTTATTATAAAAAAAATTAAATTGCATAGGGATTCCACTGTAACTCTAGATATGAATTACTATGGACTGCAATCGTGAAATTACATGGATATGTTGTGTAATTAAGAGAATTATGATGGTGTTTTAGTATTGTCATGTTGTATTTTTGTTTTTAAAATAAAAAACTACACACATATTCTATATGTTTTAGCGAATAGACAATGCCCGTGCCATTAAAATGACATGTGAGATGCTTCTCGACAATCAAATTTGGCTATCAAATATCTCACTAGATGTGCAACCATGCATGCTTCCACATGGAGCAGCTCATGTATACATCATAATTGGATTGTCGCCTATAATTTATTGTTTGTGTTTCTTTTTTTCTTTTCTTTATCCTAACAACTAAAATACATAATTATAATATCTTTATTTGTTGTTCGCTTAAGTTTGACATAGCTACTAGACTCATAACCAACAAACCCAAAGTGTTTAGGTTTGATATAATTGTCAGACTCAAGACATTTAAAATATTTTTTAAATTTTTAATATTTATTAATATTTTTTTTAAATTAGTGTCATTATACTTCTAAACTAAGGTTATTTTAGCTTATTATAAAAAAAATTAAATTGCATAGGGATTCCACTGTAACTCTAGATATGAATTACTATGGACTGCAATCGTGAAATTACATGGATATGTTGTGTAATTAAGAGAATTATGATGGTGTTTTAGTATTGTCATGTTGTATTTTTGTTTTTAAATATTATAAAAAAAAATTAAATTGCATAGGGATTCCAGTGTAACTCTAGATATGAATTACTATGGATTGCAATCGTGAAATTACATAGATATGTTATGTAATTAAGAGGACTATGATGGTATTTTAATATTGTCATGTTGTATTTTTGTTTTTAAAATAAAAAACTACACACATATTCTATATGTTTTAGCGAATAGACAATGCCCGTGCCATTAAAATGACATGTGAGATGCTTCTCGACAATCAAATTTGGCTATCAAATATCTCACTAGATGTGCAACCATGCATGCTTCCACATGGAGCAGCTCATGTATACATCATAATTGGATTGTCGCCTATAATTTATTGTTTGTGTTTCTTTTTTTCTTTTCTTTATCCTAACAACTAAAATACATAATTATAATATCTTTATTTGTTGTTCGCTTAAGTTTGACATAGCTACTAGACTCATAACCAACAAACCCAAAGTGTTTAGGTTTGATATAATTGTCAGACTCAAGACATTTAAAATATTTTTTAAATTTTTTAAATTTATTAATATTTTTTTTAAATTAGTGTTAAACTATTGCGGAGCATATGAAATATACTAGTTTTGATTAAAAATAGTGTTTGGATATTAGATGTTTTATTTTAAGAAAAAAAGCAGGATACCCTTTGCTTTTAACCCAAAAAAACATGGGATTTATTTTATCTGAATTTTAGGTTATATTATTACTTTTTTTCTATATTCAAAAATAAAATATGAACAGCCTATATCTTTAAAGAAGCATGAGTTCCAAAAGTTAACAATATGGACACTTGTTTTGACATGTATTAGAAAATTCCAAATTTACCTATAAATAAATAAAATTGCAAGGATATTTAAGACTTCTGTGGGCAATGATATAACATATATCTAAAATACCTGCAATTGCTATATAATAATTAAAAAAACACTTGACCAGTAAAACTTCCGCCCTTTTTTTTAATAACAAAACTGTGTGAAGAAATGAAAAATAAAAGTTTATATATAAAGTATTCTCTTTTTATTTATTATATTTATAAATTGGTAAAAATACCCAGGAATTAACATGCAGGTGAGCTTATTTAAGCCAGGCACTATGACTGGTTTTTAATTGTTTCTATATTTTAAAAGTATTTTTGAAAAAAATTAATTTTTTTTATTTTTTATTAACTTTAAATTTATATATTTTTAATATTTTCAAATTATTTTGATGTGTTAATATTAAAAATAATTTTTAAAAAATATTATTAATATATATTTTAATATAAAGAATATTTAAAAAACAACCATAAAGACACTAAAATGCAACTTCTGGTTGCTGAGATGATCTCTAAAGAAACTCTTTTACATCGTCCTTTTTGTTTGTTAGTTATATTTAAGAACACCTTCTGGTTGCTGAGATGATCTCTAAAGACCATAAAGACTAAAATGCAACTTCTGGTTGCTGAGATGATCTCTAAAGAAACTCTTTTACATCGTCCTTTTTGTTTGTTAGTTATATTCAAGAACACATCTTCCACATCAACGTGGGGAATGATCATTTTATAGGGCTCGGAAAGCACGTAGGCTGACATGCATTAGGTAGTTTCGTCGAAGCCAAACCAATTATTTTTATTTTATTCCAATTCTACTTCCTTGAGAATATCTGTTCCATCTTAGACTTTTATTTCTGAAAATCCGTTTTTGAAAATTTAAATTACTGAAAAATACAAACCCTAAGCCATAAACTTACATTTATAATAGATGAAACACGGTTTTTTCAGTTTATACATAAAACCCCACCCGAGTTCAACCCGTATTATATTATGATAATTTTTGTTCACAGCGAAAGTCCATCTTGGGACTCGTTTCAAATGCTACTGCGTAGCACAGCTAGTTTTATGATTTACTGACGTGATAATTACTCTCCCACAAGAAGCTTTCTTTATCTAAACAAACACAACGGGTCAAATCATAATTTATACATAATTAATTAGGCGATTAACTCTCTTCTATTACTTAAACAAATTCCTCTTCATTGCATCATTTGCTTGATCGACACAAATAATGTTTTTCTAGTCAATTTCAATCTCAGAACATTCTTACCATGCACAGCGGTTCGCCACTGGAGTTTTGCTCAGTACACTCACCTTAATTGCCCCCATCTATGATTCCTGGGAAGCTTGGTTGCCAACCCCGATTCAAATAGGTCAAGCACGACCATGCAGGCTTCCAGCGCTCACCTCCTTGACAACATGATTTTTTTTCAAATCTAATTTTCCCAGTCTTGTAATGGTCATATCTCATTAGTAATTCTCACAAGAAGAGATTAGATAGAAAGAAACCGAGGAGTTGAAATCCAGTCGAACTGTGATTTTACTAACACCTAATTATGTACCGAGCCACAACCGTGAGGAAGCATCAGAGCAGTTATGACCATTGATCCACCTTTAAGAAGGTTCTTGGAACAATCAGCTCTATACCACAATTGGTTTTATTGCTCCCCAAGGACTGCAGTCAGAATGTAGAGCTAGCTTAATCGCCATTGCGCCATAACATGACAAGCACCTCCACAAACGGCAAATGAAACAAAAGGCACTTGCAAAAACGCAAGACCTGCACAGTTATACCAGGCAAAGCAACTGATTAGGAAAAGCACTGAAGAAAAATAAAATAAAATGAAGGGTTCTTTGCATGCACTATAATTACTGTCTCTTTTCCTTATCTCATAACCAATTCTTCTTATAATGCAACACAAGTAACATTTTCACTGAATTTGTCGAAGATCTCAAGATTATTCTTCTTTTTTTAGAGC